TGGATTGAATATTCCACAGGAGGATGTTTAGTTTTTTAGCTGACCTAGATAGTATTTTATTAGACGACTGCTGTAAGCAAATGTTAGAAAAGTTCCCAATCGCTTTGTTATGCGTTGAGAGTTGTGTGTCAGAATTATCTGTCACTTCAGACTCTACGTTAAATTTACAGAGTTGGGGGGAGTTTCTAAAAAATTCTCCTGACACTGAGCAGTGCTTGTTGCTTTTTTAGCAAACCTGAAGGCATTTATATATGCCCCAGTAGGCCAGAATTCAGGCAAATATATTTTGTCCCACAAGTGAGCAGGAACCCCTACCTTAAATGTCCGATAGCCTGGGAACCTGTTCCTCATTTGTGTGACTTTGTAATCACCACTAATTTCATCACTTATATATTTATTAACTGTATCACAGTCAACGTCTGTAGCCAGCCTTGAGATGAATAAATACCTGTATTTGTTGACAGTTTTTAATTTATTGCTAGTGTTGGCAGAACCTGTGATCGAATTGTCGTTATTAAAATGTTGTTTTCCAGAGATTTGTATTTGTTTATTTACCTTAAGCCCATTAGCGTTAACTGAACTTGAACTTGTTGTAGTTGGTAGGTTAAGGTTATGTTTATACTGTTTTGACAGTTCAGTATGACGTTTTCCACCATTCCTCTTCACTGGTGTTTTTTGTTTGGCAGGCGTAACAGTTTCGCTGTTTCGCTTGTCTACTGCAGGAGCAGACGTCGCAGGCAAACTAGCAGAACTTTTGGTGGCAGACGACACGGGCAAAGTAGACGAATTGTTGACAAACTGATGACAACTACTAAGATTAGAATTGTCTTTATGATTGTGAATAATATTCTCTGAGTTGTCATTTGAAGATTTAGATGAGTCTATACATTTGTCACTTTTAGCAATCATTTTAGATTTATTTCTCAAAACACTTGCAAAAGTGTTACTATCTTTTAGCATAAGATCGCTAACAGCCTCTGCCTGATTGGACATAGCAGTTTTTAACCTTAAATTTTCTATTTTAATTTCGGAAATTTCTACTTTAATTTCTAAGTTGTTTTGAGTTAGTTCATTAATTTTTGATATCAGATATTCAATTTTCTCTGAACACGGGCACACATGGTTGAGAACTGAGTTGGTGTCGTAAGCTACCGAATTGTCCGTGTTGTTACTCACGTTAGTCTCAGCGACGGAGCATATATCACACTTCCAATCAATTTGAGAACAATTTTCCACAAAGTTTGATTCTGATAAACTGGTACAATTTAAATGAAACATATATTTACATTCACCACTACATTGGATTTTGTCAGATTTTAAATTAATAATTTTCTTACATGAGCCACATTTCAGTGACTTGTTTCTTGGCGGCGGTGCCATCTTAATATAAACTAATAATATAAACTAATATTAATAATTAGAAACTAAGGTGTCTTAAAAGATGTTGTTGATAAATTGTTAAAATATTGTGTTCTGTGCTTAATTTTTATACATTAAATTATATATTAAGTACTTTGAATCTTAAATGTGTTATTTTTCATACATAAAATAGAACATAAGTTTCTAATAAATGAAGTCATAGTATTATTTTCGTTTGAATTTGATGTTGATTTGTCAGATTTCTTGTTAAAATAAACCTCAGTTTCATAGGGGTTTATAAACATCCCACATTCCGTTAAAACAATATGTGATAACCAAGAGCTTTCTTCCAGTTTCCAGATTATGAGGCCTGCTACGAAGTTATTCCCATCTAAGTTTTTTTATGCACTAAAATAAACTGTCAAGTAAAGTTTAGCCTATATTGAGACCAAAGTAATTAAATTGGTACAGTGAGTTAATAAGAAATAAAGCTACAAAATCTACCAGATTTTCGTAATATATGAGAAAACTACGAATATAGACTGCAATCTTTTACAAATAGAAAGCAGAATACTAAAGAATTTAAGTGCTTGAATTTTATTCGAGGTAGTATCAATTTTGTTAGAATTAAAATGTTTAAGTAAAAATTACTTATAGTTTGACTCATTTTGTTTTATAAATCCGTTAAATCACGTTTCTTCGATTGTAAATGAGAACAAAAAGAAAGAACGCTATAAGTCTTTGCGTATTGAAAACCCGAAATACCCTTACAATTTAATAAAATATAATTTGGCATTCCACAAGCTATAAACACTTCAGCATAACTTAAACATGACTATGGAAATAGAGTTGTACATACAATTTCATTAAATATTACACATCAGACAGTTAGTAGGAATATTTAATACCTAACAGTGGCTTAATAGTCCCCCAAGCATATAATGGTGGTCGAGCCGCAGAGAGTGAATGTTATATAGCTTGGTTAAGTAACACACATAATATGTAACAGTATAATATCGTTTTGTGGCCATCAAACGATATTATAATGCCACCTAGGGTGAATAATGGATAAGCTTGGTTATTTAACACCCTCTATATATACATACAGCAAATTACAGACACAATTAATAGAGTAACTTTTCACTAAAACCTTTAGAATATTTTTACATACGTATGTCTAAAAAAGTAATATTAATTCAGTGTTAAATATATTTTATTTTTACCTATTCGTGGTAAAATGTAATTCTAACATAAATATACGGAAGGCAATCTGTTCTACAATTTATATCCCCAATATACATCGTAAACGGGAATGTAATAAATAATAATACTTAAGTATAATATGAAAACAATTGTCTGACCCGTGTAACGGGGACCACAATAAATTATGAATTTGACCTCGGGTGTCATGCTGGATTTAATAGCCTATATAAAATTATTATTTGATGTAGTTTTAGTTAAAATATAAAATAATAATTGAAGTTTAGTTTTATTGATGACAAATATTTAAAGATTGGTTATTTAGTCTTCCGTTTAGTACAATTCAGTTAATACTGGAGGGGCCTGCGCGATTTCCCACGAAAATTATATTACACTTTCTCTTGTACAAATGAACCCATTCATTAAAATCAATACAAGGTAAGTAATGGCAAATTTATAAACCAAGATGATTTTAAATGCTCAAGAATTTTCATGGAAAATCATGGTTAGGGTCACACTTACACTGTATGTCATCATCGTTTACAAAACCTCTTGCAGTATCATACTATTTAAAAGTTATGAACATGGGAACGCATTAATTGGATCTTCTTTCGAAAAAAAAGCAAAACTACTCATTAGCTGACACAATAATAATATATTTAATATATTTAAATTATTATATAGGCTATGTAGTGTATCCACTATTGCTCCAAATTGAATGAGTAACAAACAAAACATACACACAATAATACCACTATTGAGCACTTGGTAAAAATACCAAACAAAATAGTTTCAGATGATAATACATAACAATATGATTCAAAAATATATATTGTATATTTAGGAATATTTAAGGAGAAACTAAATTGCTTCCATTCTTTGCAGAAGCTACGACGATGAATAATTAATGGATGTTTTATAACGGTAAATGTCAAGTGGAGAAGACAAGAAAGAAAAGTCTATGAATAAATTAACACAGTTAATTAAACAACCATCTATTGTCTCAGTAGATAGGCCATTGTGCTTTTCCAGGTCGAGATTGACTTTGCAGTTAGAGTAATAATTATACTATCTTAAAACTACTTTTTTATTGACGTGCATTTATATTTTAAATAATAAAATTCATATTCTCGAATGGTAAAATGCATTCATCAAGCGTTTTCCTGGAAAATAAATTTTATTGTGGACAATAAACTTTTTTACATGAAGACAAGTTTATTAACTTGTAACATAATTTTAATATATTTTTAAGATATAAATTTTCAGTTTAATTGACTGATATTGGACCATTTTTCATTAATTTTAAATAATCTGCATGTCGATTTAAAAAATAATAAAGTTTTAAAGTAATGCAATATTTCCGAATATTCTGTTTTCTTACGGACTATAATTTTGTATTTTTAATACATGACGTATGCACTCGCTGATAAAGTACAATTTAGGACAATAGAGGATTCATACTAAAGTATGTTTATGAAAATAGTTTAAAAAAATAGTCATCCATCAAAGTAACGAGTGTAAAATTTCCGTTTTCAATGCATATAAAGGATTCAGGACATTAGCAACGAAATAAAACATGAACCTTTATTATCGAGATCAATGTAAGCTTGACAATGTAATACAACATACTTTTGCATGATTTAAGGATTTATTAATGTTACTAGAAGCAATGTCTAATGAAAAAGACTTTTTGTAGAAAAGGTAATTCCTAGAATTTTAGTTTCATTACAATTGAAATAACCTAAAATTAAGAATTTTAGGTTATTTCTTTATGGCTTATTGATAGAGTTCTTTAAAACATTGTCAATACCGCAACGCAGTTAACAAATCAGGTAAACATTAAACATAGGTTTTATAGGAATAAAATCAATTAAAAATTCAGTATGCCATCATTTTGTTTGTACAAATGTTGGGAAGCTAAAACTTTGACAACATAATTATGCTCAAAACCAATTTAATAAGTGGTTTCAAAACCTTCCGTGTATAAATGTGAAAGAAATATAAAATCAACATCAAAACCTCTTCGTAGGTGGCGCAATGTAAGTATTGTATTGTCATTAACCGATAGTAACATAATATGCCTTTTTTACGTTTTGGTAAAATACTTGGATCTATTACGGTTAGCATAAGTTTAACTACCTAGTTCTATAAATTTCACATAATTTAAGGAGTCATATTTATGGAATATGATCTGATAATTCAATTTAAAATATAAGTAAGCAGTTAAAACTAAGATTATAATAAAAAATAGGATTGATAAAGGAGTTTTTTTCACACTGATAAATTTAACAATATTTCACACCGTTCTTTCTCATATTCAATATTTAAATAAATCCTATAGTTTTACCTTTGGGTTATTGTGTTTATCAGTATGTGCAAATTGTTAGTTTTAAGCTTAAGTCACCAAATGCTAAGTTAAATATTTTCCAGGTTTCACTTACCAGGCGTCATTTTGTCTAAAACAAAATTCCCTGCGTCCACTAGTAAGTTTCTTGGGGCTAAATAATCTGAAAAAACAATTAAGACTGGTGAGAAACAAATTTGTGTTTTGCAGACAAAACTAAAATATAATTAAAATGAATACAACATACTAGTTTTCAAATCATATTGTTGAAAGCAATTTAGTTTTTGGAAATATGTTTTTTTTTTCATTTTTTTATTGAAACTAAAGAAATAAGGTTGATTGTATGAATTTTACGTGTATTGGAATCGATGGAGATTTTCATGATAATTAGGCCCGAGGATTTTTTCTGGTTGAACGTATGTTTTTTCTGGATGCCAATGAGTCTTTTAACATCAAATACAATTTTTAAAACTTTAGGATTCATTAAAAAATCTGCCCTTTAGAAAACAAAATACAGACGACTTATAATAGTCTTTGAATAAATCGCTATACTAAAATCCTGATTTCCTCTTAACAAACTGACCAGAAACATAGCTCACTAGTCCTTAGCCAATTCATAAAGACAAAAAATAAACAAATGAATAAACTTTGTGTCAGGAACAAATGAATAAAATAAAATAGTCTGTGGTGGAGACTAAAATGAAACGTAAGTATGTTTCCTCTTCCTACCAAACCATATGTATAAGAAGGGTCTCTAAGGTGTTTTATTGGTATAATAGAGAAATATCTAAGTGCGTTTATTATTTCAAAATTTTACATGAATACTTGCTCTAAAATGTCAAAGTGTGGTGGGTTTTATATAGTATGTTTGACTAGTTTATTATTAGGATTAACACGAGATAGAAATATTTTCCTGCTAATGCTAATTTCGTACAGAAATACTTCATACTCTGCCGCAGCAAACGTGCAAACTAAGCTAATTTATAAATACGTGATTGGATTACAACTGGATTACAAGATATTCCCTCGTCATTTTCTGATTTTATCCCATTTAAATCAATACTTATTCAATACTTATATCAATATACCTTAATACTCAATACTTCAATACTACTACTAATATAAAGCATGTTTTGTTTTAAATAAATTATCATTTCTTTTGTCGGAATTCCCACGTGTCATGTTCCACATACAAGGTTTGTGGTACTCGAACAAACGGCAAGTTCATTTGCAGTTAAGTGCTTCAGTTGGCTTAGGACCAAAGTCTATCCAAACCCTTAGTCGGAACTGTTTAAGTTTGCAGTTACCATGATAAGATATATAGTTACTAACATTAAACCTATTGTCTTATAAGAAAAAAAAATTATTTCTAAGATATAAAAGAAAATAACGCATGCTCATATCCAACAATCTATCCTTACTCTTTATTATATATTACAAATGATCGAGAGTTTTAAAAGCTACTTAAAAATCTAATTATCATCTCTTTTTTAGCGAATTTCCCTATAGGGAAGTAGCTATTACCGTAGGTCTCATGGTAAGACTTAGGCCCGGGACCGATTTACTTTTTCATTTTGATGTCCCCAGAGGCCAAAAACACCACTCGTTCAAATTTTTATATATGTATATATATATATATATATATATATATATATATATATGTGTCCGTGAACACGATAACTTGAGTAATTTTTATCCGATTTTGATGAAATTTGGTTTGAAGGTGTAAGGCGGGATAAACTTGAATGAGTTCGCGATCCAGCATGATCGGACCATGGGAACAGGGTTTTATGGGGGGTTTTATGGGGTAAAAATTGGTTTTTCTCACTTTTGACCCTCAAAACACAAAATTTCCCAATTTTTCTCTAAACCTTCTTAAAGAGCTTAAAAAACAAACAATTCAGTATATCAAAGTGTTTTTGTACGGTTATTGGCTACGGAGAAAACTAAAAAAATGGTAAATTTTAAATTCCCATGTTATTCTTATGGAGAATATTGTAAAATGTTGTAGTTTGCTTGTTTATGGATATCTTTTGATCAAACTTGGCAAATATATTCATTTTATACTAAGCAATAATTATTTTACCTGAAACACACACTTTATTAGTTTCCTTGTAGCAGCAAACCTAGGTTAAACCTAATGTTATTTAAATAGATCAATTGAAAATCAATTCAGCCAAATTGAAATTCGCTTAGGCGTCAGGTTTGCTGCAGCGGGGGTATTTATAACCTGTTTCCTGCTTATTTGAATATTTTAAATATATTCTCCAAGTACACGAATAATATGAATAGTTATTATGTATTCTATGAATTGTTTTTTTGTTTAACAAGGATAATTTTTTATTCCTCCAATACTAATAAGTCAACCTAACAAGTAATACGTTGAGTTGTTTTTAATGCTAACTACTAACTATTTAAATCGTTCTTTATATAAATACGATTCGGTTACCACACGATATTTCGGACCTCAAATTAACAGTGATACGAATGAGTATAATATAAATTTGGACAAAATACAAAGATATTTGGTAGTTAAAATAAACATTCTTTCTTCTTAACCTCTCAGCCGTAACATCCACATCGGTAAATTTGGAGAGAACTTTAGGTTTATTGACATTAGTGACTACAGTGTGCCTAAACCACCTCTTGAAGGTGGACTTTAGCCCTAAGTAAGCAATCAGCCTGTGTATTTAGGTCACAAAAGTCCTCATCTCGGATGGTTATTGTTATTACGGGAAGAATTACGGTTCAACTTAGAACTTAGAGACACGGGTATTTGACGTCAATTAATTAGTCTCAATATTTTCATCAGAATTGTTATTATAAAGGATGTGTTTAAAGGATGTATGTTGTTTTAAGGGAATTGTTGTTATATTTGTATATCTTTGAGTTGATCGGTTTGCTTTTACGTATTAAAATGTAGGATCTAAATATTTGTGTTTCTACGCCATTGGCAATGTTCAAAGTTGTTGTAAAGAAAAGATCCAAAACTTTGTTGGTCTTGTAACTTCGATATTCTGATAGATCATTGGTTGATATTCCAATAACAAATTTAATCTGGGCTCAGAAACGAATTTAAATAAAAACAGCGAACTTTAAGTTTAAAGGCGAGAACTATAAACACTAAGCTACTAAAACAGTCAAGTTTTTAAGAACATTTATATTTGTTGTAAAGGAAATATAATTTTTTTACACACTATAGTAGAAACTCTATAGTAGAATACACCTCTAAATCTTGTGTAAACACTTATTTGTAAGACCGTCAAGTCAAATAATTATATCGTTCCTTATATTGATTGATAATGCCCGTATAAACCATCTCATTTGATAAGCCATTTGCACGCCTGTTCTAAAAATGAAGTGCTTGGCTATTTCATGAATTAAAAAGTGTGACAGAAAAGAAAACCCTTAAAAAAACTCCAAATAACCAAAATAACCAAGAAAACCCTAAGATTTTTCATTGTTTCTTAAATGTAGTTCCTGGGTATTCTTTAATGCCTTACTGAGTAGTGTTTTCTATATAGACCTTTTAATGTACATTATGTATTAAATGTACATCTGAATATATCAAAAGATATTACATATATCATACTTGATATCCTCATGATCAAGGAGCAAGGATAATGCTGTGTGCGCTCAATGGTGATATCAAAGTTTGTAGTACCTAACTAAACACAAACAATGACAAACTGTTTGAATATCATTAGGTAGGTTGTTTGGGATGTGGTATTTACTTGAAGATCAATGCAGTTGAACCTTGGTTTGTGGGAATCAAACTTAGTTCGTAGTTACTCAGAGTCAAACCTATTTGTTATATAAAATGCCAATAGTTAATTTGTGGGGTTTACAACACATTTAAAATTATATTTAAAAGCTTATGCAAGTAATATTTTTATTTTTATACACGAAAATTGGTTACGTGCACTTTTTCATATTATTTGTGGGATTTGTAAATATAAAAGAATTAATTTTTTTCGTATAATTATTTCATAAAATTGTTCATTTAAACTCTCGATATAGTGACCTTATTAGCGTTATAGGACTCTCTTTTTGAGAACTTTCTCTGTAGTTACCTACCACCTATAACAAAAAAATCTTAATGCTCTTTAACGCACTTTCTTGTGTTGGCTAAGTACTATCTTAAGTACGTTAATTATACTTATATACTAACGTACTATACTATACTTAATTAAAAAAGTTAAGTATTTAGATAGTTACAAAAAAACTAGTTACGAAAACAAACTCAGTCTTTTCATCAAGTCATCAAACATTTTTCCTGGTTGTAAAGACGGACGAATCTATTTAGTGAGAACAGTTGTTTACAAAATGGTAAATATTTAAATAAGTTTCATATGGTACTTTTGGTTTGGACTCACTGTCTTAGTCTTGACCCTATGATGTCAATTAACCTTTTTTTGTCTGGTAAGCCAAGTGTTAATAGTGCTTACCTTCCAATCTGAAAGTCGCCGGTTCGATTCCAAGCGGGGTCATTTAAGACCCTAATTCCATTTTTCATTGAGCTATCGATCAATAATCCTATCCAACAAAAGTTTTACTTTCCGTGGTAACAACACCAAGGTTTGGAACGCTCTCATATGAAAATGAAACTCGAAAGTATTATTATAACAGAAAAAAACTAATAAAAATAAGTTCAGTTGTTTGACTGACCTTAATTGCTCCCATTCCACACTTTCAAAAATTATGTAGAAACATTTCACAGATTATTCTACGACTGTTCGTTAAATATATAAGGAAGAAAACAGATTTTTTACTATCGGTTGCAGAGTGTGAAAAAAACGCTACAAATATAAGAGGGTATACCTTGGGATGATTAATTTCTATCCATAGAGTCGTCATGAAAAATTTACCGTTAAAACTGTTGATCTCCAGTTCATTTTGTTACTACAAGCGATTTAGTAATTCACTGTATAAACCTAAAAATCAATATAAATGGTGTCCAATACTTGAAAATATAAACTTTTGAAGGATACGTTTCACGATATTTTTGAGACACAGTGTGTTGTTTGTTAAACTCAATCAGGCCATTGTCAAGAGAAGGTAAACACACTCTATCATAGTGTCTGACTTTGAAGCTAACAATGTTTGTGTTGTCAGTGATGAATCATCGAATACAGATCACGTGACGTCAAAACATACA